GGTCTTGCGGCAATTATACTGTTCCAGCCATATGATGGAGAATATGACTTCTAAACATCTAGTGGGCTACACATTTTATAGTATCTTCCTCTCAACACTCTAGCCAGAAGGGAGGATTGCATTGCTAGCAAAGAGGTGTTGAAATCATAGAGATCTCTAAAACCCAGACCTCTCATGTCTCTGGGGGTACATATTTTGTCCCACGCAATCCAATGCATATCTCTACTATTTTGTTTCGAGCTCCACTAAAAATTGGCAATCGCACTTCATAGGATATCCGTTACACCTTGCGGGAGTAGGAAACACGACATAACATGTGTCAGAATTTCTTGAGATACCGATTTTATTTGAACCTCTTTCCCTCCTTTTGAAAGGAATTTTGCCAACCAATTATTGATCCGGTTGTTTAATCGGTCTTGAACATATGCAAAAACTTTCTTCTTTTGAGCCGCAAATCTGCTCAGGTAGACCTAAATACATCCCCATGCCCCTTTCATTGGAGATTCCAATGGCTCTCTTTATCTCTCGCCAAAGGGGCTTCCCAGCTTTATTCCTGAATAGTATCAAAGATTTTGTTTGGTTCAATTGTTGTCCTGAAGCTGCTCCGTAGGTGTGAAACCCTAGGGCTTGCTCTCGAAATCCTTAGACATGTGATGTGGGAGATAAAAGCCTCTGTACATAGGATGAATAAGAATGGAGATAGGGGGTCTCCTTGTCGTAGACCTCATGATGGTTTGGTCCTTTCTTTAACTTCTCCATTAATTAAAACTTGATAAGAAACGGAAGATATACAGAGCATCAAAAGCTTCACCCATCTTTCCGAGAAACCTAGCTTTAGGAGTGGGGCTTCCAAGAATTTCCATTCGATCCTGTCATAAGTTTTGCTCATATTCATTTTGATGGCCATGAAATTTTCTTTGCAGGTAGGATTTGTGCGGAGAAGTTCTCTTAAGCGAACATAATATTATATGTGATTAGGCGTCTAGTCGTAAAGGCCTATTGTATTTCTGAAATGAGGTTCAGGAGTACTTTCTTTGGTCTTTTGCACATAATCTTCAAAATGATTTTGTGACTCACATTACACAAACTTGTTAATCTAAAATTCCATCATTGTTCTTTATCGATCTTTTTTGGAAATGAGACATATATCATTTGGTTATGTTTTGGATTAAAACTGCTATTTTCAAAGAATTCTAGAACCATCTTAATTACATAACCTGTAAGCTGTTAGCATTTCTGATAAAAATAATCTATTCTAATAAAGTAAGGTTTTTTTTTAGAACCAGTTCTGATATGCTGCCACATGTCACCTTATAAATTGACATGTGGCACTTTTCTCTCTTTTTTCTAAAAAAATGTTTCATATTTCTACTGAATTCTTTCTTATTAAACAAACACAAAAATAAAACTTCACTTTTTTCTTCTTCACCACACAATTATTTTTCATCCAATAAAAAGAAAGAAAAATCAAATAACCCAGCAAAATACAAATCTTATATGATAGAGTAAGGTCATGTGTCAAATTTGTTTTCTCTTTTACTTTTTTTTCTCCTATCCCTGCTTGATTTTTTTAATCAAATAAACACAAAACAACATTTCAATATTTTCTCCATTCTCCACTTGATTCTCTTCCATTATGTCTCCTACTTCATATTATTTTAGAAGTTTATTTTACTTTAAAGAGCTGATTACTGTATACTTCTGCGCGAAAAGTAATTTTATTTCTTTAAGTTTTTTTTATAGAAATATCTATGATATGCTGCCACATATCATTTTATAAATTGACATGTGTAACTTTTCTTTTTTCATATTTCTACTGGATTCTCGTATATCGAACAAACACAAAAACAAAGCTTCAGTTTTTTTTTCTCTTCTCTACTTGATTATTTCTCACCCACAAAAGAATAGAAACTCAAATCAACCAACAAAGTACAAGTCTTATATAATAGAGTAAGGTCGTGCGTCAAATGTTTTTTTTTCCTATCCCTTTTGATTTTTTTTTAATCGAACAAACACAAAATTAACGCTGTGTTTTTTTCTCCTTTCTCCACCTGGTTCTTATTCATTATATCTCATACTTCACATTATTTTTGAATATTTTTAACTTTTAAAAGCTGATTATAGCATTACTTATGCACAAAAAATAGTTTCATTTCATTATATCTTTATTTTTTCTTTGTGGCCAATCAAATAGAAAATCATTCACTATTTGATTTCATGAAATCATTTTAGATTAATAGTTCACTCTTTGCTTCCATACCCCATCGAATCTCAAACAACCACTATTATCACAATCTGGATTCTACTCTTCGAATTTTCTTTCCAATCATCCTTACGTGCTTTCAAAGAATCGTGGCAGCTACACTTTCTTAACAAGGTCAAACCTCATTCTATATAAATATTATTATTTCCCCAACCTTTTAATACAAATTTTTAACAAATTACATGGTATCCACAACCTAAAAACTAACATTTATCGATAAAATTTTAATAAAAATATAATAAAATATACTAAAAACTAAATTTTATAACAAATCCATGCAACGCGCAGACCTTTCTCTAGTTGGTTATATCATTTGGTTCTGACCCTTTGTGTTACTTGACGTAAGAAACTGCTGCCTTTATTACTTTCATAGACGGAGTAGCGACAAGAGATTAACATAGTCCGTGATAATATATTGGAGAGAATCTGAAAATTGAGGTGGGGGTGTTTAATTATGATTATTTAGTTGATTTCGATTTTAAATTTGGTTTGGTTCAATTTATTTGGTTCCAGATAATTTGCTCAAATTTATCTGAAACGACGTCGCTGTTAAATAAAGCTAAAAGCTAAAGCGCGCTCGATTAACTTTTACACTTATTTTATTAATTAGGATAATGTAAAATTATCATAGCATCATTATGCAATATATATATTTGATAAGACCATCTGTATTGATGAGAGACTCAAATAAATCTCTTACCTAATATTTAATTATTATACTAGGTGATTGGCCCGCACATATGTGCGGATATAAGAGTATCTGCATTGGTGAGAGAGTCACATGAGTTTCTAATCAATTTAATAATATTAATTTTAATATTATTTAATAATATTTTTTTTGTTTAAATTTTTTTAAAAAAATATTAACCAATGATATTGAGAGAACACATGAGATGAGTCTCTCATAATCTCTCAAGACTCTCTCCATTCTCTCTCTTCTCTTTTTTCAATTTTATTAATTTTTAAATATGAAAAACTTAATGAGAGACCCCCACTGCATATGGTCTAATATTATTGATATACATAGTTAATTATAATTTTTAAATGTTGATTAATTTTTTCAAACATTGGTATGTTTATATATATATATATATATATATATTATTTTAATATTTCACAAACTTTTTTCTGAAACCAATGTATTTTAAAACTTTTTTATTTTTATAATGTTTGTAATAATATATAATCACAAATATAAAAGTTATATTAAATAATAATTAAATTTTTATAATTTTTTTTGAATATTTCTATAATATGCTTTATTTCTCCTTACACAATCTACATTATGCTTTTTGCGTCTTACATAATATGAATTTGCAAATACATATATAATATATTTTAAGTATATATTTTTCTTGATTTATTGTAAATTCAACTGAAATAGTTTTTACTATTTTTACTTATCCGTAAGAGCAGATAGATGGTTGGCACGCATGTGCAGGCATACAACCACTTCACTACACTTAAAATAGATAAAAAAAAATTTAAAATATAAATTATATAATAATTAAAAATGAAAATTAGACTGTAATCAAGCTTAACAAAATACATGCGAACTTTTTAAGTGACTCTAACTAATGCATAATTAATATTTATGTTTGTACGCGTAATTGTAAAAAAGATCAGATATAGCTCTTATGTGTTAAAAAATTTTTAAGTGACTTTGTAAAACAAAGTGCAAGAGATTTATTTTTATATACTTCTATTTTTATTTCTTATTCATATTTGTTTCATCTTATTTTAATTTATTCTTTCGTTCGACTATTTTTTATTTTATTTATGATCTCAAATTTTTGATATCCAATGAAAATAAATAAATATATATATATGTGTGTGTGTGTGTGTGTGAATATGATATAAAATTTTATCTTTATTTAAAATATGATAAGAGATAAGATGAGATGGTAACATAAGTTATGTACATTTTAGAAAACAACAATAAAAGATGATAAAGTTACAGAAAAGTATATGGTCCTTTTAATATTATAAAATAATAATTAGTATATACTTTATTCATTTAGTAAATATTGGTTTGAAAAAAAATTATTTTAAATTACGTTTTTAAAAAAAAATCAATAAAAGTTAATTATTATTATTATTTTTAACATTCTATTCTCTAAATTATTTTTATCATGATTGTATTTTATTTAAAATTATATTATTTAATAATTTATTTATTTAAAACTTGTTTAGATGTTATTACTATATTTTGTAAATTAATATCTTTTCAAAATAAAAATATATCATACTTCAAGTATTATTAATATATAGAATTTGTACTATTTTATTGGATATTTAGTATTATTTTTTTGCTTTTATATGAAATTATAATATATATATATATATATATTGTTAAAAAAATTTGTAGTTATATTTTATGAAATTATGAATATATGTAAAATATTGATATTTTAATAATTATTATTTTCTGTTAATTTAAATTTATTAATTTAAATATAATCTAGTGTTTTTATGTTTTAGTTTTATAATTTCTTTAATTTTATTTCAACCAATCAAAATATTTTATTTATTTTAAGAAGTTTGACATGTCACATTTACATGTCATCAATTAAAACCACTAACTTTGACTGTAGTATTGACAAATCAGCTATTTTTAATAATATTACTTCTTAAATAATATATAGTAGATTTAATATAATTTAGTTTTTAAATTATTTTTATGAAAAAAAGATATTGAATCATTCACAATAACACAACTATATTAAAAGTCTTTTAGAGAGTTTTTAAAAGTTTTAAAGAGACTTCACTCTCTCCTCCTTCATTCTCTAAGTATCCGTCAAGGTGGTGGCTACTACTACAGTTTGTTCAAACAAACTTTTTTGACTTTTCTTTGACCAAAATGTATTCGATTACAACGCCGACGCTCGCAATCGGATCCGGCCATCACCTGATGCCAGTTCTAGGTCTGGGAACCGCCGCGTCTCCGCCGCCGGAACCGTCGGTGCTGAAAGAGACGGTGCTGGAGGCTATCAGACTCGGTTATCGACACTTCGACACGTCTCCAAGGTACCTGACGGAGGAGCCTCTCGGCGAAGCTCTAGCGGAGGCGGTTTCTCTCGGCTTAGTCGGATCTCGATCCGAGCTCTTCGTCACTTCGAAGCTTTGGTGCGCCGACGCTCACGGTGGCCTCGTCGTACCGGCGATCCAGCGGAGTTTGAAGTAAGATCCATTTTCCTTTTGATTAACAAACTGATTTCAGATGATTTAGGGAAATGTAAGAAAAAAGTTCACAAGATTCCAGGATTCTCGGAGCATTTGAAATACTAATTATCAAAAAATTTGTTAAATTTATGTATATTAGAATGTTCAAAATGAAAGATTTGACCAAATCCTTTCACATTTTGGTTTCAAGATCATCAGTTTCGAATATGGTATCGATAAATCTGGGTTTGAATGAAGTGAACAAGACTTGATGAACTGTTTCAAGCTCATATTAGGCATGTAGAAACATAATAGTCTTAGCTTGGGAACATTGTCTGTGTAAATCATCTTCTTTGACACATCATGTTTTTGCAGAAATCTGAAACTGGACTATCTTGATCTCTACCTGATACATTGGCCGGTTAGCTCAAAGCATGGTAAATACAAGTTTCCAATTGAAGAAGATGATTTTCTGCCAATGGATTACGAAGCAGTTTGGTCAGAGATGGAGGAATGCCAAAGACTTGGGTTTGCAAAATGTATAGGAGTGAGCAACTTCTCTTGCAAGAAGCTTCAACACATCCTCTCTATCGCCAAAATCCCTCCCAGCGTTAATCAAGTAAAAATCCACACCTTTCTCATTCCTCTGGTTTAATTGTCAAAAAGAGATTGATGAAACAATTGGAGAATTTTTTTTGTTTTTTCAATGGATGAATGTGAAAAAAAGGTGGAGATGAGTCCTGTGTGGCAACAGAGAAAGCTAAGGGAGCTTTGTAAGTCGAAAGGCATTGTTGTGACTGCTTACTCGGTGTTGGGATCGAGAGGAGCCTTTTGGGGAACTCACAAAATCATGGAGTCTGATGTTCTTAAAGAAATAGCTGAGGCTAAAGGAAAGACCGTGGCACAGGTAAACAAAATTTGAGATGTATTATGCGTTAGATGAATCCATGAACCACGTCATGAGACATAGTCCAGATTGGTTAAAAAAGATGAGTAAAATTGTGTTGACAGGTGAGTATGAGATGGGCGTACGAGGAAGGAGTGAGCATGGTGGTGAAGAGCTTTAAGAAAGAGAGATTAGAGGAGAATCTGAAGATATTTGATTGGTCTTTGACAGAGGAAGAGAAACAGAGAATCTCCACAGAGATTCCTCAGAGCAGAATCGTCGTAGGTGAGGTTTATATCTCCAAGAAAGGCCCCATTAAATCTCTAGATGAAATGTGGGATGGCGAGATATAAATATCATAATCAAAACGATTTTACTTATCATCAAAATTTACATAAACAGAGGTTTCTTTACTTGACACCAACGCAAAGGAATATGAGTTCAAACTGAAGATTTGCTCCAACTCACATACCATATAGATGCCCAATCATTTTTGTCTCGAATTGACATTCTATTGCAGCTAGATCAGTGTTGAGAATGAATATTTGTGTCAGATGTAAATGAGCACACCCATAGTTTATTATATTGCAAGATAATTTACATTAAAGATTCAAATTCTCAAATACAACTCATGAACACTCGAGACTAGATTTCCCATCAAAAAGAAACTGAATTTTCGTTAGTAAGATGTGAACTACTAATTCTAAGTGGATGTCCAACTGATCAAACGAATATATAGATCGACATCTTCTTAATGAAAACTAGTTTTTTTTTCCATGAAATGTGCGTAAAATTACGATCTACTTTTTTTTTTCGTTCTGCGAATTGTTATAGTGGGCGAGCATGATATCTATGAGACTACAATTTCATCGAAGCACTGACAAATGGTGTTGGTGTAACACCCCAATCATGTGATATGCCTTGTTTTAATAGTTATGATTAATGAGATTATAAGACTAAGTCCAGTTAGTTATTTAAACTCAATTAAGTAAAATTCTAAACTATTTGTTAGAATTTTATAGCAGTCAAAAAAGAAAAGAGAAGAAGACGCGTAGCTGAGAAAAAGAAGAAGAGGAGAACCAAAGAAAGAAGAAGATGAAAGAGGTTTGATCCAAGAAGAGTTTTGGAGGTCGTTTTCCCGATTAACTGCAAGGAACCACGAGCGGATCTACATATCCATGGAAGGCCCCGAGTCTCATCTTTCCATAGAACCCTAGTTCGTTTAGATCAGTGATATTTGAAGAAAGTAATTGCTCTTTTCATAAATCGTGTATCTGCAGATTTGTTAAGATTAGCGTGCGAGACCAGTGGCTCAATGGATTAAAGTTTTCAAAACGAATGTTTTACAGAGATACTAGATGTCTCGACTAAGTTAGTTCAGCTGGGGCATCACAAGTGGTATCAGAGACTAGTTTAAAACCACTCAGGTTCAGATTTGAAGGGTTAGTTTTCAAAAGTTTTTCCAAATTGATTGTGAAATGTTTTAAAGGCCTAAAAAAAAATATTTATGAGAAAATATTTTATTGGGTGTCTAACATCTCACGCTAGATTAGTGTTTGTTTAAGAATCATTAAGCTTCTATTTCTCATGGTGTTTCAGACAACTTGCTAAGATGAAGTCAAGTATATAATTTATTTTTGCAGGGAAGCAAAACATAAGACATCAAAAGTTTGAAGTCAAGTTCTATTTATGTCTAGAGGTTAAGTCGGAAACCAAGTGGAAAATGAGCAGTTTTGCGAATTCGAGGACGAATTCATTTCAAGTGGAAAAGAATTGTAATACCCCAATCATGTGATATGACCTGTTTTAATAATTATGATTAATGAGATTATAAGGTTAAGCCCAATTAGTTATTTAAATTTAATTAAGAAAAATCCTAAGCTATTTATTAGAACTTTATAGCAGTCAAAAAAGAAGAGAGAAGAAGACAAGTGGCTGAGAAAAAAAGGAGAAGAGGAGAACCAAGAAAGAAAGAGCAAAAGAAAGAAGAAGATGGAAGAGGTTTGGTCCAAGAAAAGTTTTGGAGGTCTTTTTCCGACTAACCGTGAGGAACCACGAGTGGATCTACATATCCATGGAAAGCCCCGAGTCTTATATTTCTGTAGAACCCTAGTTCGTTTAGATCGGTGATATTTAAAGAAAGTTATGACTCTTTTCACAAATCGTGTTTGTGCAGATTTGTTAAGATTAGCGCGCGAGCCTAGTGGTTCAATGGGTTAAAATTTTCAAAAAAAAAGTTTTTCAGAAATACTAGATATCTCGACTAAATTAGCTGAGTCGGGGCACCACAGTTAGAACTTGGACGTATAAAGACTTAAAATAGAAGGGAAAGACTCTAAGTATAATTGCTTCTTATAGGTCAAAAATACAAAGAAGATATAATACTGGTTTGAAGTTTCTTTTAGATAAAGTAAGAGATTCTGAAGACTGTAACATGTTTCACAGCCTTAAAAGAAAAAAAATAGTCAATCACACTTTTAATGTTTTATAACTTTTAACAGCCTCTAAAGTCATTTTAAAATTTTTCTTCTTTGTTTTTTTTGTCTACAGCCATCTTTCCTTAACTTTTTCCACTTTTCTCTCTTCTTTTTTTCCGCTATGTTTTAGTTTTTTCTTACTCTAAAATTTAATTATCCAACATAGTTTCTATTTTCTTCTTCCCCAAAAAGTTTAAAACCATTCCCTCATATTATATAAATTTTATAACAAATAAATTTTAACTATTTAATTATTAATACATTTTTCTCTTTCTTTTGAGACCTAATTTACCATATACATTTTTTATTTTTCAAAATTATTTGTGTTACAGTTAATAAAAATTTAATAAAAATAAAAATTTTACTGGTTTTACATATTTATATTCATAATAAAATAAAAATATATAATTTGTATTTTAGATTATTTTTTTTGTTTAAATTATAATATTTAAAAATAACAGTCACAATATCTACAGTTTTTACAGTCAAATTATTTATAGTCAAAAGTCTATAGTCACAGTCTACAGTCACATTCCTTACCAATAAGTTAATAATATTATGACTTCAAAAATTCATTCATTTTTAGCGTTATTAATTATTCATTTATAAAAATACTTTTGCCTCAAATTTTTAATAATTACTAAGAGAAAAAAATATTGTTTTCAACAATATTAAAAATATCATATCAATAAGTTTGGTAGATAAGTCAAATAATATTTACAAACTTTAAACAACAATAAAATTATAGTCTATTATATTATATTATATATATATCTAAATATTTAATTATTAATTATCTAATTATTGAAATTATATGTTTATATAGGAGTTCTAAATAAATTATTACCTTATTATCTTATCAAAATTTATTAATTTTTATACTATTTCGATCTGGAACCAACAAAATTTATTAATTTATAGTGATTATTAATTTATCAAGTATTAATTTAGAGAATTTATATTGTATTATAATTTAAATTGAGTTATATGGTTTAGAAGAACAGTCGTTTTTTTTATCTATGAATGAGAAGAAGATTGAGTGTATTTTTTGAAAAAAAAAAAATCTATGATGATCAATAAATTTAATATTTTATCAGAAAAAATGTTGAGTGTAGCTTTTGATTGATTTGGAAAATTATAAAAAAAAAATATGGAGAATTGTTTGTGAGCAAATTACAGATTGCTTATAGGGGTATATGATCATATGGGTAGTGGAGACGAGTCTACAAGTTTTGGTCTCTAGGGAGAGGAGCGGTATGCGGTTTCAGGGTAAAAGTCTGACTGAGTCCTGCGCACACTAGAAACAAGTACGCTGAACCGTACTCTTGTGGTCCACCACCGTAAATCTGAAAAGATTTTCCCTTCCGAAGGTTCTTCGATGCTCAAATTAGATCAAGCCTCACTGGGAACAGGTACTCGGGAGAGTGGATATGTGATGGTGGTCATATGGTTTAATTGGATAGTTTGTTCCGGATCGTGATACCCGTCTGAAGTTTGGTAAGGATGGATGTCTAGTGAATTGACTATAGAGAGAGTGAGGTTGGAACTTTCTCTTGATGGGGATAAGACAGAGGTTAAGGAGAGAAGAGAAAGCTTATCTCGGTTAACAGTTCTTTTGGAGAACTTTGGGCGTGTCCCCTTCAGCCCTGCTGTTAAGTTTAGCCAGTTAATTGGGTTCGGGTGTGAGCTTGGCGCTCCTGTGGTTCCTTCTCTTTGGAGGATTCCCTACTCTTGGGCGTGTCCCTTTCAGTTCTGCTTTGAAATTCAGCCGGTTGGTTGGGCTCGGGTGTGAGCTTGGCACTCCTGCGGTTCCTACTCTTTGGAGGCTTCCCCACTCTTGGCCTTCTTTGGCCACTCTTCTTCTCTATTGTTTTTTTTGGGGTCTCTCGGTTGCCTTCAGCCCCTCTCCTCTTCGAACCTTATGTTCCTATTTATACTCTTTTCGTTTTGACCTATTCTATCAATGCGGTGTATGGCAGGAGCATGTGTGTTATTACAGCATATCTTCAAATCAGGATCTTGCCATCTGCCCAAAAATAGTTAGTTAGAGAACTGTTGGACAGATCTAAACAGAAATTTTTTCATCACGGTCAGGCCCACTACTATTGTATCACCTCCTGATAGGGTATGTGAAAGTAAGCTCAACAGAAACAATATCTACTTCAATAATATATGTACTATAGAATAGTATTAGCTAAATTGTTTCTGTATTTTTTTTATCTGATATTTTATTAACTTTAGAAGGAAACAAAGTAAAATACAAAGAGAGATACAAAACCGGAAACTACAGAGACAAAAGCCCAATAGAAAGGGAAACACAATCCCAAAAAGGGAAAACAAAGCCTAATAAACGGGGGAACAGACAAAGTTTACGAAACAAAATACCACTAAAGTTTAAGAATTAAGAGATACTCTCGATAACACCTGATAAGTCAGAGAAAAGCAATAGACGCAGAACTATAACGCTCCCAAGACGCAGCCGAACCTCCAACCGGAGACTAAAGATATCCAGACAAAAAAAAACCACGAAAGAAGCCCAAATACAACAATTAAACTGACCATAAGAAGCAACAAACGAGAATCTAACTCCTACACAACTAATCATCTTCTGAGTTAGAGCTTGTCTTTTTTGTTGGTGATATCCGTTTTTGGGCTTTGTCTATTTTGGTTATGTTCTTATGTTCTGTCCTAGTCGGTTTTAGTTGGGTTATTGTTGTTTGTGCTAGTGATATACCTCTAGCTCCAACGTGTTGATTTCTGTGCTGATATAACTGCTAGGTTTGGACGCGGAGCAGATATCCAGAAAATTTTGAGCATTTGTGATTTGCCCCGCTTTCACCGGATATTTAATTTTATGATTTGCTTTGCTCTGAAAAATACGGATATCCGAAAATGCGGATATCCAGAATATTTACAAATATTTGCAGATATTTATAGATATTAAATTTATTCTATTTAATAGAAACAAAAACTGAAGTACATGCATTTTTTTCAAATATAAACTATAAAATAAAAAATAAATGAAACAACTATCTTTATTTGAGAAAAACGAGTATAATATTAAATTATAATGGTAGAAAAAGAAAAACAGTGTTTTATATCCTGAAAAAATGTAAAACTCTAATATAATTTTTCTTATGTATTTTAAAATATTTATTAACTACTATAGATGTTTATTACTTACTACAGAATTATTTTATGTGTTTTTTATTTTCTATTTATAATAAAGATACTTAAACTGTATAAAAATATTACAAATTTATGATATATATATATATATATAATCTACAGATCGGAACGGATATCCAAATTTCTGAAATTAATATTTACGATTTAGTTTGTTTTAGATGAATACTATATTTTAGTATTTATTTTGCTTTGAATCGTTACAGATATCCAGATTTTTCGGATCAAATCGAAGAAAATAATGAATCAAGTCAAATATAACGGATAATATACCTTAACCTACTAATTGCTCGTTTAATAAATTGACAATTACACCTTTCATTAGGACGGATAATATACCTTACCCTAATAATTGCTCTTTTAGTAAAATGACAATTGAACCTTCATTAGGACAGACACGCTGACTTTGATGAACTCCTTTGAAATGACAATTATAGCCCTCCTTAGACGCTGACTGACTTTGATAGTCTTTTAAAATGATTCACTCGCATTGAGTCAGATGAAGGTACGACGTCGTTGTTTCAGGTTGTATACACAAATCTCCCTTTCTTCATTAACGACGACCACCACTCTCTCTCTCTCTACACTGGAGAACGGAAAGAAAGTCCGTTTGCCTCGGAGACTTATTTAATTGATATCTCATCAGAATGAGTAACGAGCTTCTCACCTTCGATCCTGTCGACGTTCAATTCCCTTGTAAGCTTTATACACATAAATCCTCAATTATCTTTTCGAGAAATTTACTCTGTTTGATTGGTTGACTTTCGTTTTTGATGTAGTTGAACTAAAGAAGCAGATCACATGCTCTATCTGTTTGACCAACAAAACCCGCAATTATGTAGCCTTCAAGGTGAATAATGCATCATAATTGTCTTAATTCTTTCTCTACATAATGGACACTACGTGAATCTTAGGTTCTCAATGGTCATTTTTTAGGCTAAAACGACGAAGCCAAAGCAGTATTGTGTCAGGCCTAATGTTGGTGTTGTTCTTCCAAGATCTTCTCTTGAAGTACTAGGTGTGTCTCTGACCTTTTCTATTAAGATTGATGAGATCGACACAAATCTGATGAAGTTCTGAATATCAAGAAAGATCTATAAGATTATTGATGTTTTTGATTTTTTTTTTAACTTGTGTCAATCTCATCAATCTCCCAAATATGTGATCCCCAAGCATTGATTAGATCGACACAGGTCAAGATTAAAAAATCATATAAATATCAATCATCTTTTAGATCTTTCTTGATATTCATAACTTCTTGAATCTTAACTTGAGTTTGATATCATCGATCTTTTTTTTTTTTCCTTTTGTAATGGATATCGTTTGCCAGATGAGGAGTTGAATTTTTTCGGGGTTAATCATGGGTTTGGTTGTTTTTGGTTTTTGCCTCGAGTCTAGTGACCATGCAAGCGCCAAAGGAAGCTCCGGTTAATATGCAGTGCAAAGACAAGTTCATGTTTCAATGTGTAGTGGCTAGACCAGGAGCCACGGCCGAGGAGGTTACTTCTGAGATGGTATTCACATTATCATTTACAGAATCTTTTTTTTTTTTTTTTTTGCTATGTTTGTGTTACTTTCTAAGCACTTTCTAATTTGCCCCTGGTTATATAGTCCAATATTGTATCTTTTCTACGAACAATGCAGTTTAGCAAAGAGGCAGGGCATCGAGTTGAGGAGACTACTCTAAAAACTATATATGTTGCTCCATCACCGGTTCAAGAAGGATCAAAAGAAAGCTCTTCACCAAGAGCTTCTGTCTCACATAATCCTTCTGATCTTCTCATCATAGATCCTGTCGACGTCCGATTCCCTTGTAAGCTTTATATATCTATCCTCGAATATCTTTTCCATTAGTTTACATTGTTGATTGGTTGACTTGTAATTTCGATGTAGTTGAACTGAAGAAACAGATCACTTGCTCTCTCTATTTGACTAACAAGACCGGCAATTATGTGGCCTTCAAGGTGAATACATTAGAATTGTCTTAATTTTCTTTCTCTGCATAATGGAGATTATGTGTATCTTAGGTTCTCAAGGGTCTATTTTTAGGCTAAAACGACGAACGCAAAGCAGTATTGGGTCAGGCCTAATGTTGGTGTTCTTCTTCCAAGATCTTCTCTTGAAGTATTAGGTATGTCTCTATGACATTTTCTATTAAGATAATGAGACAATCGACGCAAATATGAGGAAATTGTGAATATCAAGAAAGATCTATAGATTATATTTGTAATTTTATTTAACTGTACCTAAAAGCATTTCCATTTTTCTAATAATTATAAAAATATAAAATAATAAAAAGGAAGGAGAAATATAGACTTTGAATGGATACACATATCAAATGCAGAACAAATACAGATTTTTAAAAAAGCAGAATTATATGCATTTGTGTACCATTTACAGTTTTAATGCAGAAGAAATAAATAATAATAAAAATAAAATGATCTATATGCAAAACAGTTATTGCTTTAATTTTCTGATATACATCTAAAATTAAAAAACCTATCAGAAAGTACCAGATCACCTGCAAGTCTAATTTTTAATATTTTTTAATTATTACTAACTCAAATTAATTATGATCTGTATATCCATTCAAAACCTATAAAACACATTTCTGATTTGAGAAGTTTTAAGGACATATCTAACCAGATGTCATGATCTGATTAGTTTATTTTTTTATTAATAAAATATATATTAGATACCCTATTTTAGAGACGTACCGATAAAGGTATTCTACTCTCATCAATCTCCCAATACGTGATCCACGAGCATCATTGCGATCAACACAAGTCAAGATTGTAATTTATAGATATTTTTTTATATTCACAATTTCTTGAATGACTTGTGTTGATCTCATCGATCTCCTAATATTTTCCTTTCCTAATGGATCATTCGCCTGATGAGGATTTTAATTGTTTTGGTATTAATTATGGGTTTGGTTGTTTTTGGTTTTTGCCTCGAACCTAGTGACCATGCAAGCGCAAAAGGAAGCTCCGGTTAATATGCAGTGCAAAGAAAAGTTCTTGTTTCAATGTGTAGTGGCTAGACCAGGAGCCACGGCTGAGGAGGTTACTTCTGAGATGGTATTCACATTATTATTAACTAGATTTACAGACTGATTCGAATACTTTCTAAGCACTTTCTAATATTGATTTTTTTTTCTTCTAATGAACAATGCAGTTTAGCAAAGAGGCAGGGCATCGAGTTGAGGAGACTAAATTGAAAGTTATATATGTTGCTCCACCACAACCACCATCACCGGTTCAAGAAAGATCAAAAGAGGGCTCTTCACAAGGAGCTTCTGTCTCACATAATCCTTCCGATTTTACTGCTGTAAGTATGGATCTATAAGAACCTCTAACTTAAAGAGAGGGTTCGTTTGATTTTGTAATTGTGTTTGCTTTCTTTTCTGATGGCTTTTCTTTCTCTTTTTTTTTTTTTTTTTCACTTTCCAGGAAATGTTAAGATCCTTGATGATTCCATTATTGTCAATGGCTGGCTCCTACACCGATGATGAAGACGAAGATGATGATAGCTATGACGAGTTCACTCCACCGCAGTACCAAGTGTTCATAAATTTCAGGGGAGACGAGCTGCGACATAGCTTTGTTGCGTTTCTTGCAAAGGCCATGAGGCTGGAGAAGATCAACGTGTTTACTGATGAGGTTGAGGTGAGGGGTACGAATCTAAACTATCTTTTCAAGAGGATCGAGGAATCGAGAGTTGCAGTGGCTATCTTCTCAGAAAGGTACACAGAATCTCGTTGGTGCTTGGATGAGCTTGTGAAGATGAAGGAGCAGATGGAACAAGGCAAGCTTGTTGTTATTCCCATTTTCTACAGGTTAGACGCTACCGCGTGTAAAAGACTCGTGGGAGCTTTCGGGGACAATTTCAGGAATCTGGAGTGGGAGTATAGGAGTGAGCCTGAGAGAATCCAGAAATGGAAAGAAGCTTTAAAATCTGTTTTCAATAACATTGGCTTGAAGTTAGACATACGAAGGTAATATTTGATTGATTCATTGTTTTGTTGGAATAGGTGTACACGTCTTGAACTAAATTTTATGTAATTTTTCTTCATTGGGGTGATAGCGATGAGAGCAAATTCGTCGACTCAATCGTTCGGGAAGTGAAGAAAGTGCTAATTAAGATTTACACCGAGAAAGGAGAACTCTAAGAACTCTACCATTGAGGGAAACAAAGAAGGATTTACTAACAAAGAGGAGATAGAGACGAGTTTGATACGACCCCCTTAGATTTGGAGTCAAACAAGAAACAAAGAGGTATTATGGTTCGATTTAGGTTATTTGTAATCTTCATTGTTATGGAAATCCTCTCGGTGCTGATTAATTTAAATTTACATTGATTAATTTGTATATATCCAAATTTACAGTTTCTTCCCTTCTTAATTCGTTTCCTTTCGTTTTGTTCCTCCTATTCTGATGAGTTGAGTTCTATACCATTATAAAGATAGGAAGAAAAACGAGTGGGGTTTTATAATAAAAAAAAAAGAAAAACGAGTGGGATCAATTTAGGAGAGGGAGAACAAAACAAGAGAATTCAGAAACTGATTTAGATTTAGAAGAAAAATAACGAGAAATTTTTTTAATCCTTAACTTTTAGAGTAATACTACTAAATGGCTAAAGACCGGTAGTCAATTGAGAAAACAACAAAACCTATTTATGAGTTTAAGCATGAAATTAATTAACCACATATTCAGACTATTATATCATTATATTTCTCACTCGCTTTGAATATTTTCATTCATCTAAAATTATTTATAGATGTCTAAGTGGTATCTATCAAAAGTTAGTAAGCTGGACACATATATGCCGTCTTCTTCTTAATTAATGTCTTCCCCAATTCACTTCTGAGACACCATTTTCATCTTCCTCCTTCCTCCGACATGCTTTCATCCTTTGCTGCCAACAATTTCTTGATTCTCCCTACCAATAATTTCTTGATTCTCCATACCAACAATTTTTTGATATATATATATGTGTTCTCTCTCTTGACCTTACTCTCCAAATCTCTAAACTTTCCTCTCTAGATCTTAACAATTTAGCAGATCTTGTGAGATTCCAAAAGAAAAATGGTTAGAGGTGAAGAATCTTGCCCAACCCGATCTTTTATTAGACAATTTTTTTGATTTGATGTCTAAACATTTAAGAGAACTCGGATTCATCTTCGGTAATCTCGATGTCTCTTTTAATTGTTTCTGCAAGCACACACTATTTATAGATATACATGTCTAAAATAATAAATAACGCATGTTTCATACATAATAATAAATACATCTATATATAATAAAATATATAGTTATATTTTTTTTTAACATGTTAACTTATTTCTTTCTTCATGTAAGCTATATCTATAACTTTATATAAAGGTCTAAAATAATGAATATATATCTATATTGTTAAATGTAAAGTTATTGTTAAATGTAAAGTTATATGTGTTTTTTGACATGTTATTTTATTTCTTTTATTAGATAAGTTATATCTATAAGTTTATATATAGGTCTAGAATAATAAATACATATATATTCTTTTTAAATGTCAAGTTATATGTTTTTTTAACATTTTAACTTAGTTTTTATATCATATTAATATAAATTTATATATAAGTATTTTAATTTGTAACTAACACCATATGTTTGGATATATATAGTGTTCGGGGAATCACCTCTAATAATAATATATTATGTTATATTAAAATTACATTATAGAATTAATGTTATATTCAGATATTTAAGTTTATTATCAATCAAAATAAAGTTAAAATGTTTTCTGATTGCATTTATTTAGTATTACATTTATGTGTCCATAACATATCTTTTCCATTTAAAACAAACTCTACGCGCATATAAATGGCAATTGATGTAATTATACAAAATAATTTTTTTTTTAGGTATCCTTTAGCCAATTCCTTCTAGCACATTAGTCTCTTGTTGTTTTCCTAATAAAAACCCCATCCTTTGCCATCCACCTCTTTATCCCTAACTTTTATTGATTGAATAACTAAAAATTAAATTATAAATTATGTATAAATAATAATTGATATAAATCATTTTTAACCAAAGTAATGTAAGTAGCAACAACTGTAAATAATACAGTTATTTAAATTATTTTTCATATGTATCGTTAGAAATTATCTGATGACGATAGATCATCATAACACTGCTATGAATCACATGTAATCAGGGGCGGATCTAGAGCGATTTTGGCATGATAGTATAACTAATAAAAGTCTTAAGTAATATTTTTAATAGAACGGGGGCACTTGAGAGGAGCAACAAAGTATTTGCCCACTAAAATACCAATGGTTAATCAAATTAGTAAAATTATTAAGAGAAAAAAAATTAGTTGGGGCATTGATATTCATGTATTTTACATTATTTTAACATTTGTTTTTGTTAGTTTTGATTTTTTATCTATATTTTGATCATATTTTAGCTATTTTCATATATATGTATCTTATTTCTCTTTATCATATATTTTATAGTTTTAGATTGTATATCATGCATTTGTATAGTCACTTGCATCATTTGCGTCGTTTTTAGATTAATTGGATTCTAGGAGATATGAAACTTGGCAAAAGAAGTGGCCAAGAAAAAAATGTGTAGAAATCTGCTGGTCAAATATGTTCAGACAAGCTGTCTAAAAGATCATCCTATCAATATTTTGAATCATATAAGGACCTATGTAGCTAATCACCAATCAAGAACATAGAACTAAACTCACAATGTGAATCCTACATATGCCTAGCAATGAACATGACTCAAGAAAAAGCATGTTCTTCTAATGCATACTATCTAACCATCAAGCAAGAGTCTCAAATCATGTCCTATCTAGCCCTAAGCGAATCATCTAGTAAGGTGAACAAAGGAAACATAGACCAAGCTAAGACTATAAAGCAAAATAGACGAATCATGCAAAGACCAAGACTTCAAACCATCAAGTGAACCATATGCATCAACAATACCATATTCAATCAAAAGGGAGAAGCTTTATGAACAATAATCACTTTGCAAGAAAAGAAAACATCAGAGAACAATTAATCAAGCCTAATCACCCCTTAGTCACATCCTAATCACCACTTTCCCTACTTAGAACTTTAAATCTAAGGTAAACTATTCACTAACTATGTTTAATTCTATTTAATTAGAGTTAAACATGATTAGATGAGATTAAATGCAAGATAATGAAAACTAAACTACCAGGATGCTAGATCAGAGAATAGAAGACAAGAATAAACCATAAAAGTGCAAACTTGATTGAAGAAAATGAAAGTGTTTACAAGATGGGCAAATCGTCCTTTTTGGCTAAGCAAGAGATAAGATAAGGTTTTTGGAACTAAGATGACATAATGACAAAGTGTTGTGGCTTCTCTTTTATAGTAGAGAGCCAAAAAGGAAGGAAAAACCTAAAAATAGGATAAAGTCAACAATAAAATCCGGTCAAACACGCGGATAATTTGTATCGGGGTGGTACAGACGGTGTTTTGCTCGACGCACCACCCCAATATGGTCTGTGCAGCTTGTATCGGGATGTTTCTGCTTTCACTGCTCGATGCAGCACCTCGATGTAGACAATGCCTTAGGCTCCACGAGTCAGACCACTCCTTCATGCATTTTGGCTTGCATCGGGCAGACTACACAGAGGTTTTGCTCGACGCGCCATCTCGATATGGGACCAGACTTGGCAAATCTCCTTCTTTGACATCTAATCGAACATGAGCTGCTTCCATCTCCTCCCTAAACTCCAAGAATCTCTAAAAGCACCTGAAAAACACCACAAACATGCAAATATATGCATATGTATGCAATCCTAAGCTAAATGTATGCAATCTTGATTCTAAGTGCAAATGAGACTAAAATGCTAAACTAATATGCAAAAACAAGGGAAAAGATGCATTAAATTCAGCCTAAAATGCTCTAATATAGCAAACTATCAAATGCTCAAAGAGGGTTTAATCAGAACTATAGGAATCATCCAAACTTTTCCTATAGAAAACTCAAAGTTAAGAACCCACAAGATCAAGCATATCCTTAACAAAAGTCACCAGGACAAGGCTTCCAACATCAACAAAAGTTTCCACAGCAAGGCTTCCAACAACAACAAAACTTTCAACACCAAAGATTCGTTACAAGGCCACAATTCCCACAACAAGGCTTTCAATCTCAAGGTCAGTTCATCAACAAGTAAAAACCATTTTCCTACAACAAGGGAACTACCAAAGACAATGAATTAAGTTCTTCCTTCCAACCATCTAAGGAATATAAAACACTGCTTTTACTTAAGCAATTTTTAAAGGGGCAACCTTTTACACACAAAAAAAAAAACTTTTAGAGGGGCAAGAGAAAAAAAACTATTGATTTAGACAAAAAAATATTGGAGATGCCCAACAAGGTAGATGGGAGTTACATTGATCTAAATGCTAAGTTTGAGCACTTATCTACACATGTTAAGGACTTAAACAATCAAATAGCTCAAGTTGCTTCTTCCTCAAAAAGACCTATTGGAATGCTTCCTGGAAAATCTGAAACAAACCCAAAGGAGTTTTGTTAGGCCATCACTTTGAGAAGCGGTAAAGAAATCCCATCTAGAGAGAAAGGATTTGGAGACATGGTGAATGATGAAGAAAATAAAATGGTAGTTGATAAGGATTTGGAGACATGGTGAATGATGAAGAAAAGAAAATGGTAGTTGAGAAGCTACATGAAAAGGAGAATGAGTCTAAGGATCCTATATTGGTTGATGATGAGGTCACACCAAAGGAAATTCCCAAGGAGAATAACAAAGAGAAAGTTATGTTTGTGCCTCCTCCTTATGAAGCAAAGCTGCCATTTCCTGGGCATTTCAAGAAGCAGATTTTAGACAAGGAGTTGGAGTTCAATAATTTTCTAGGGAAAGTTCATGTCACCGTTCCTTTCACAGATTTGCTGGCTAATTACCCCATCTATAACAAGCTCTTCAAGGATGCGATGAAAAAAAGAAGACTCTTACAAGAAATTATGGTAATGGTGAATCATGAGTGCATTGTCATCATTCAAAACACTTTGCCAAAGAAATTTCCAGATCCGAGTAGTTTCACACTTCCTTGTTCTCTCGGCCTTGTGTTCTTTCGAAGGGGCCTAATCGATTTTAGTTCAAGTGTGAGTTTGATGCCTTTGTCAATATCCAAGAAGCTCAGGCTCACAAATTTCAAGAAGACAAGGATGTCATTGGTGCGACAGATCTATTCGGTTTCCTATGGGAGTTGTTGAAGATCTACCATTGAAAGCTTGTAATTGCCTCATTTGCACAGATTTTGTTGTACTTGAAATGGATGTGGAATCCACTGACCCTATCATTCTTGGGAGACCATTCTTGGCAGCTGTTGGTGCTATTATTGATGTGAGAAGAGGAAAAATAGACTTGCATTTGGGAGAG